ATCAATTCAGATGAGGAAGATGCCAATGAGAGGCCAAATGCCACACGCTCAGGGTGAGCCATAACTAGGAGATCCGAAATTGACTTCTCTTTCTTTTGATTTGTTTTTTAAGCAACAGCTGTCTGTAGTATAGGGATTGTAAATATTGTCATCATAGTGAGCACAATAACGTGAAGTAGGGGGATAATAGAGAAATTTTCAAAAAGTTGAAATCTAAATATTGTTTGTTCATTTTTTTTTGGGGGGGGTCATCCCAAAAAATGACCGCTATAGGGGGGGGGCATGTGAAAAAATTGGTAAGCTGAGGGGGCATCATGCGATTTTTAAATGGTACTTCCCAAATCCCACCAGCCCCCCCTCCCTCGTAAAAAATGAACGGTCCCTAAAATATTCTCATCGCCTCGTGAAAGGGCCCATAATATATATGCTAAGAAATAAGACGACAAAAGAGGTATGATGGGCCAATTTTACTCCATTTATGCCTAATCACGTACCTCATTTCATCGATTCACGTTACATTTTGCGTTAGCTAAAAGCAAAGGTTACTTGAAAAAAAATCTTCATAGGTAGAGAGGCTCGAGCATAGGGAACAGTAATATAAAATTTATGTAGCATTTCCATGAGTTTTAACGACATCGCCTCAAAACCTTTCTCACTTGAGTCGCGGTTCAGGGTCATAATTTACATCATCGCGGTTTTGTGCACGATCTTAGCTATATCATTTTTGTTACCTCTTTCTAGCTTATTTTTTGATTTTTTTTTTTCTAACTTAAAGAGGACAGTATGTACACCCAAATTATGGGGGGAAAATGATGCTCACCATGCTCGTTTAAGAGAAAACAAGCATTTATTTCGCTGCCGGGCTTAGTTTAAAGGAAATCTCTTGATTTTGTGTACATGTATGTGCACGCGCTAGTGAGCGCACGATAATGACACGAAAATCGTGCAGTACGGATGCGCAATGCAGTTCTGAGGGATCATCATAATTTCTCAGAATTATTTAAACAGGAGCAACATTTTTTGTCAGGTAGAATCGCGTGATCGGTTACGGCGTTACGCTATGCATTGGTACCCTGGAGATTATAAAAGAATTTACGCTTGTTCCACCTCATCACTCTACTCGAGGCCGTGTATAGCGATGGGGTTGGCCAAGAGAAAATGAGGGGACAGGTCCATCATTCTCTCTTGGGTTGGCGACCCACCTTCCCACCCAACAAGTCGGGCGTGATTTAACTGTCCGCTTCTAGTTTCGCCTGGTCTTGGGTTTGTCTTGGGCCAGAGGGATTCCCGATAACTTATTACCACGTCATGAATAACAATACCTAGAGTACATCCTTACACGATGCTGTGCAGCCAGCAATTCCAAGTAGAGGTCATTCTTTCCATTGCACGTAGTATAGTTTTTTTTATTTGCATCAGTAACGTTACTTACAATACAAATATTAGCTACACTAGTAACATTACTCACAATAGCGAAAAAAAATATATAAAACCCTAACATCTGTCTCTTATTTGGGCAGGGAGGTTGGCAAGATTTCTGCACAACGTCTACATTAATTATGCATGCAATTTCTTGACTGACTCGTTCTTTTCACGATCGCTGTTTGCCGGAGTATAATGTGATAGTTTGAGATAGTTGCATACATAATTAATGTATGGGGCTGTATGGAAATCGTATCGGGAGGTTTGCCGAGTGCTCTTAAAGGAACCTCTGAAAGGAACCAATAGATTTTCGCAAACATGTTAAGGCAGGTTATGTTGAGCACTATTTCAATTTTTGTTTTTAGAAAGAAATATCACCGAATCTCCAAAATAAGAGCATAGAGCACCGACTGCTAATGCGATTTGTATTCTCGGGATCGGATGGAACTAGCTAATACGGTGCCTGTTGTTAACCGGGAGAAACGATGAAATGAAAGCAGAAGGTTGAAAATTAGGAATTTAGTGATATCTCAACAACATATCACTTGTTTCGGTAGGAGAATCTTAGACGGATTTATTATGTTCATTGATTTATAGCTCTATTGGTAGTCCTCGTTTGTTGGCACACCCCTCAGGAATTTAGCATTGAACATGGAATTAAACTTACGCCGGATACTGATATGGGTATTTCTTTCTTTACAAGTCTATGGATCTCGCCAAAACATTGCAAGGTGAAGAACTCGACCAACACGGAACTCATACTAGTTCAAAAACATAATTCAGTTATGACAAAGAAGGTTACAAATCTTTTTTGTTTATG